AAAAAAAAAAAAAAAGAAAGAAAGAAAAGAAAGGAAAAGAAAGAATGTACCTCAACATAATGAATACCATTTATGGAAAGCCTATTGCTAACACCATACTTAATGATGAAAAGCTGAAATTGTATCTCCTAAGAACAAGGCAAGGATCGTGAATGTTATCTCTCCTATTCAATACAGAACTGGAAGTCCTACTCAGAGAAATTAGACCAAAGAAATAAACATCTAAATCATAGAGGAAGAAGTAAAACCATCTCAGTTTGCAGATGACATTATCTTGCATGTAGACAACCTTAAGGTTATCCTTGTAAAAAGCTGTTAGAATTAATAAGCAAATTTGGCAAAGTTGTAGGATAAAACCAACATTCAAAATCAGTTGTATTTCCATACACTAACAATACTGTATCCAAAAAGAAATTTTTCTTTTCTTTTTTTTTTTTTTTGAGACAATGTCTCACTGTGTTGCCCTTAGTAGAGTGCCGTGGCATCACACCTCACAGCAATCTCTAACTCTTGGGCTTAAGTGATTCTCTTGTCTCAGTCTCCCAAATAGCTGGGATCACAGGCACCTGCCACAACTCCCAGCTATTTTTTGTTGCAGTTGTCATTGTTGTTTAGCAGGCCTGGGCCAAGTTTGAACCTGCCTGCCTCTGTGTATGTGGCTGGAGCCCTAAGCACTGAGCTACGAGGGCTGAGCCCCAAAAGAAAATTTTTTTTAAATTCCACTTATAATAGCATCAAAAAGAGTAAAATACCTAGAAATTAACTTAATCAAGGAGGCAAAAGACTTTCACACTTTCAGTACAAATGTGGGTGAATTAAATTTTAGAAGACAGAGTTAAAATCTTCACAGATTAGAAGAATTAATATTGTTAAAATGTCCATAATTCCCATACTACTCAAATCTATGTTTAGATCAATGTGATCTCTACCAAATCTCAGTGGCATTTTTAAAAATGGAAATATAGGAAACAATCCTAAAATTCATTTGGAACCACAAAAGATCCCAAATAGTCAAAGTAATTTTGAGAAAGAAGAGTAAAGCTAGAAGTATCACACTCCCTAATTTCAAAACATGTTTGAAAGCAACAGTAATTAAAACAGTATGATACTGGCATAGAAAACAGTCACATACACACCAATGGAACAGGATAGAAAGCCCAGAAATAATCCTATGCACGTATGCCTTATTATATGAACATGACAAGGGTCCAGTGGGGAAAACATGGATTAAAGCCTTCACATAAAACCTGAAACAATGAAACACTTAGAAAAAATATAGATGGAAAGCTTTTAACTATAAGACTGGGCAATGAATACAAAAAATAGACAAATGGAATCACATTAAACTAAAAAGCTTCCACACAAAAAAGAAAAAACAAAGTTTCTGTGAAATTGGAGAAAATATTTGCAAACCATATCTCTCTGATAAGGAGTTAATATCCAAAATATATGAGAAACTCAATTCAAGAAAAAAAGTCCAAAGAACCCAATTTAAAAATGTGCAAAGGGACTCGGCGCCTGTGGCTCAAGCAGCTAAGGTGCCAGTCACATACATGTGGGTTCGAATCCAGCCAGGGCCTGCCAGACAACAATGGCAACTATAACCAAAAAATAGCCAGGCGTTGTGGTGGGCCTCTGTTGTCCCAGCTACTTAAGAGGCTGAGGCAAGAGAATCGCTTAAGCCTAAGAGTTGGAGGTTGCTGTGAGCTGTGATGCCACAGCTCTACCCAGGGAGACAGCTTGAGGCGCTGTCTCAAAAAAAAAAAAAAAAAAAAGTGCAAAGGACCCGAATAGACATTTTTTCAAAGAAGATAAACATGTAGCCAACTGGAACATGAACATGTACTTAGCATCACTAATAGGGAAGTGCAAATCAAAAGTACAATGAAGTATAACCTCATACTTATTAGGATGGCCATTACATATATTGGGGAAAAAAACCAAGTGTTAGAAAGGCTGTAGAGAAAAGGAAACACTTGCGTTCCGTGGTAATGTAAATTGGTACAGCCAATATGGAAAACAGTATGGAGGTTCCTCCAAATATGAAAAATAGAATTACCTTTATTTAGATCCAGCAATCCCACTTCTAGGTATATATACAAAGGGATTAAAATCTGGATCTCAAAGAGATATCTGTGCTCTCGTATTCATTATAGAATTATTAAAAATAACCAAAATATGGAAACAACCAATAGAAATGTCCATTGACAGTAGAATGAATGAAGAAAATATGTCATAGGCCAGATTCGGTGTCTCTGGCGCTTTCATATGGATTCACAAAATCCCAAGAGCTTCATTATATGAGACAAGCTTGGGCAACATAACAAGACCCTGTCTCTATAAAAAAATTAAAAAATTATCCTGGTGTGGTGGTGCATGCCTTAGTTCCAGCTGAGGCTGAAGCAAGAGGATCACTTGAGCCAAGGAGTTTGAGATTAAGTGAGCTGTGATTTGGCCACTGTACTCTGCCCTGGGTGACAGAGTGAGATCTTATCTCTAAAAAGAAAAGACACTATAAGTACAGTGTCTGGAAAATAGAAAGTACAAAAATGTTTCTTCTCTTTGACCCTTTATCACACCCACAGAAACTCAGACTAGGACATTACCTTAGACTTTCTGCCCTCCTCCCCTCTCATGGCACAGATGAGGGAACAAAATCTAAATTCTCACTGCTGTTTACAGATAAGTGCAGAGTCAATGTCCAGGTTCCTGCTCAGTCTATTCCAAGGTTAGCAAATTATGGTCTGGGAGCTAAATCCAACTTACCATCTATATTTGTATGGCCATCTTAGCAAGCTAAGAATTGTTTTACATTTTTTTAATGGTAGAAAAAATATCAAGGAATATATCATAACACATAGTTATTAAATAAACACATTTTAGCATCCATAAATAAAGTTTACTGGAACACAGCTATGCCCATTTGTTTATGTGTTATCATGTCCTATAACCACAGAGTTGAGTACTTGCAACAGAGACCATATAGCCCACTCAGCTATAGTTACTATCTGGCCCTTTACGGGAAAAGTTTGTAGATGGCTTGGTCTATTACATTACTCTTAGGAGGGACCAAGAGGGTTTATTGAGTGATGTGCAAGCTCAATTCTGAAGAAAGCCCTAATACAGTATAACAAAAAAGGGGGGGTTATTTTTTATTACTATTATTTTGATTTAAAATCTGATTATTTCTTTTGATAGAAAATGCTTGATTAAACATTGTTTCTTAAGAAATCAATTTGATTTTTTATTCGTTAATTGTTACATAGTCATAAATCTTTTAAACTGAAGGTGTTAATGGGGTACTCATTTCATACATGCTTTTTATTATTCATATTTTATATATGTACTTAAAGCTTGTCCATGAGTGGGCAACATTATATTACATTACACATTGGTAAGGTTCAATCACTGAATTGAATTCTCCCAAGAATATATTTCACTTCAGTTCTCCAGGAGCCCAGGAGATTTAATAAAGCTGCTCAAATTCATACCATTAAACTTACTTTATGGCAGCATGACTGGAGTAGTTTGTAGAGATGCTCTTACATTGCTTAAAGATTACTGCAAAATAATTCCCAGATTACTCACCAAGGCATTCACATTCCTCATGTATATCACCAACCAACCTTCCCTGCCCCATCTCTTGCCACTCCTTCATTACTGCGATCTTCACATGAATTTTATATTTCATCCACACTGCAGGCCTCATCATTCTCAAACATGTCTTATTCCATCTCTGTGCCTTTGTTTATGCTTTTCTCACTATGCAGAATGTCCTGTACTCAACTTCTTTATGGTAAGTTCCTATTCATGCAAGATGCAAACTCTAGATTAATTTTCTTTTCCTTTATGAATTCCTCCTGGATTTCCATGGCTCATTAGGAACTATTTGCTCCCTTCTCTCTGCTGTCAGAGAACTTTGCTAATAATAATACCTCTATCATAGCATTGATCATCATGCTAGAAGGTGAGCTCCTTGGAACAATGCTTGTAGCATATTGATCTCTGTATTCCCAGCAATTCATACAGTGCCTGGCATGCAGGAGGCTCTCAGAAAACATTTGTCACGTAAATAAATGAGTAAAAGTGAGAGTATGAATAAATAAACCCAGCTAAGCATTAACTCAAAGGTTATTGTTTGTTTCAATGTAATGAAATGTTCTTCACAAATGTGTAAGGTCTTTAAGTGGGCGGTATAAGGGTAGAAATACCAAGAAAGAGATGCTTGGTTTTCAGGGCCATTTTGAGAATCAAATGACATAGTATTTTGGAAAAGAAGGAAGTAATATGCAGATATCACGTACTTGTTCTATAAATTATTTTTTATCTCCTTAAATATATATTGCTGTTCTCTAAGACTTAAAGAGAGGCTGTGTGAGCTGACATATTCAGGGAGATAAAGAAATGCCTCCTGGTTGGTCACAACTAACGTCTGCTCTTTCTTTGTATCTTCAAGTTAGAGAATCCAGAATCTGTAGCTTACTCTGCTCCCAGGTGAACACAAGCAGGAAAAATGTAGCAGGCTGAGCATCCACCTAATGATGCTTATGCTGTGTTTGTATTTCAGATACTTAGGCCCTGGTATGACGAATTCCTGAATGAAGAGGACTACTGTTTTCTCTCTTTTACAGTAAGAGGGGCTCTGGGTTGGCAGATTGGGGGAGGAAGAGAGAGAAGTTGCTGTTTTAGAAGACTTGTTTGATAAAGCAAATGAATTTTTTATTTTCCTGGAGGCAATGAAAGATTGACATGGTCCCTCCTGTCCAACAAGGAAAAGGACTTAGTGTATAACCTGACTTTGAAGAAGTCACAATCATATACCATTTCTCTGTTATAGAAAATAGGTTTGATTAGAAGAGGGAGAGGGTTGGTATGTGAAGGAGTAATGGGTCTTAACAATTAAAACAATCAGAGCAAGTCTGTGTGATAGGGAGGAATGAAGGACTGAGTCTTTACAAAACTGTTGCTTCTGGTTTAGCTGCTGCAACAAATGCTGTCTTTTCCCCATTCCTTTATCTTAGACTCAGAACAGGCTAATCAGTTCCATACGGCCTAAAAGAGACACGATAAGCAAAGAAGAGAACATTCTTCTTTGTAAGAGGGTTCAGGAATCTCTGGAGTTAAGCCATGCTTTGGCTACCACAGAGAAAATGGATTCTATGCAGTGGCAAAAGATAGCTACTGAAGACCTGAGACAAGGAGGGTCTCTCCAGGTAGAGCTGTCACCACCAATGTTTCTAGTAGGTAAGAGCAGTCACTGTAATGTTTTTGACCCTTACATATAGCCAACTTGCAAGTATGAATATTTACTGATTATTTACCATGCATTAGCACAGCACCATGAAAAGACTACTTTATTTGATCTTCAAAATAATCCATGATGTAAGTACTAAGTAACTGAGATATGGAGAGGATGTGACCTTCCCAAGGTCACACAGTTAGCAGCAGAGTCAGGATTGGAATCCAGACACACTGCAGAGCCAGCTACTGTATCTGAGAGAGCCAGAATATTCAAGTTTGGCCAGACTCTTACCCACTAAAGCATCACTACAGTTAATACTGAATGCTTGCACGCATCTGATAAGCATGTTCTTTAACACACGAGAATCAGGTCCAAAGGAATTTCAGTAAATACATTTTTAACAGTCATCCTCTTCCCTAACATAACATACCAACCCACCTTGGCAGCAGAAAGAAGTAATCAGCACAAAGCTCTGCTGTCCTTGCTTTCTCTGCTGGGGTTATGTCTTTGCTCTTCTATTAACTCTGTATACTTGAGAAATATATTTAACCTCTCTTTACCTCAGTTTTCTCATCTGTGAAATAGAAATAATACATGATAACAGGTTTGTTTTGAAGATGAACTGAGATCATTTCTGAAAGCTACTAGCACGATGCGTGGCCATAGTGAGTATTGAGCATATTGCTTTCATTGTTATTTGAAGAACTGTGTATTTCTCAACCTTTGATTCACAATAAATACATATGACCTTATGATTCTTTAAACATATGCATGTGTATATGTGTGTGCATATATCATGTATATGGAAAAAAATTCCACAATGCAATCATTGCCCTTATTGCATAAGCTGATATACTCTAACATTCTATTCTATCCTATTTCATGTTATAAAAGCTAACAGTGACTCAGTTTATTTGTGGCATGCTGATGACTCATGACTCACACTTTGAAAAAGAATGCTAGAGAAGGAGTAAGCAAATGCTTGGAAAACTCACTTGCTCCATGAGCAGGGGCAAGTTACTCTGTCTCTCTGAGCCTCATTTCTTCATGTATAGAATATAGATAATAGCCCCTACTTTGTAATATTGTTGAGAGGATTACAGGTAATGTATTTACATGACAAGTACATGCTCAGTAATGGGTACCTTTTAGATTATAAAAAAATTGTAACACTCAACTCTTTTTTAAAACTTTAATGTGTACTCTATATACAAAATAAGATGCCCTGAATGCTTGCTCCTCAGAGCCATGCTTGGGGATGAGTCATTTAAATCTAGCATGAATAAGCCTTTTTTCACCTTAGAGGTTCCACCCTTTCTCTGAAACCTGAGCATTCTCAAGCCTTTTCAAGGAAATCAAGGCAAAAGAAGATAGGATGACTGTTAAATTTCACCAAATACATCCTGGGTAACAGGCATTACTCTGGTGGCTATGGAGTGGCAGGGGGAGCCAGGAAGAGTGTAACCCATCCTCTGCGGAGACTCCCTGTCTTCCCCCCAAGAAGCATTATTACTTCTTCTGGCATATCTTTTTTGGAACACAAGTCTGGCCTGACAAAAGACCTTCTTTGCAGCAGAGAAAGGTGGTAGACCAGGAGAATCGTTCAGCTGAGCTCTCCTAGAATGGGGACCTTACCCAGAGTCATAGCTCAGGGAGCATAGCAAGGAGGTGGTGAGCTGGATACAGTGTATGATCTGGAGTAGTGGAAATCTGATGAATTAGGCAAATGAGTATGACTGACTGGGATTGGCTGGCTGCTCACAGAGGCCTGGGATGGGATAAAGTCTTTCTGGAGTTTTTAGTTGTTGTGGGAAGCTGTGTGTTGAGTGGAAAGCTTGGAGGAGTGGATGGACTCAAACAGTATACAGCAACCAGATTTGAATGCCAACTGGAGTGGATTTGCCATAGGTTTGGTGGCTGGTGAGGCAGCCATACTGGGAAGGTCTCAGTGGCCAGGGGGTTGCCACTGTGGGAAGGTTGTAAGAGGTCTTAGCAGGGGCCTAAATCATGGGCATCTTAATTCTGACTTTTGGGATCAGAACTCCACTCTGACAATAGGTTGAGGAACTCCTACATCCCATGGGGAGTGGAGTCAGTGGGCATTGTGAGACCTGCCCCTGAAGGATTCTTGTGAGCTTTAAGATCCCAACACAGCAGGGTCTCAATGCTGAGGAAACAGGCAATCACTAAAGGCAACTAAGTTTGGAATAAGGACCATAAATGTTGCTGGCTGTGCTGTCTCCTAAAAAAAACTCACAGCACCACCTGGTGTCCCAGAAACACTTTGCAACATACTGTCATCAAGAGCAAGGACTTCTGTTTAAAACAAAGGAGGCAATGAAAAGTAAAAAGGAGGATGAGGAGGGGAATAAGTAGAAAGAACACATGAGGAGGAACCAACAGAAAAATTTGGGCAACATGAAAAACCAAAACAGAAGAACTCACCCAAGGGACCATGAGGCAGCTACTGCAGAACACTCCACCTATAAAGAATAAATGGACTTGACAGAAAGGAAATTTAAAATATGGATGATAAAGACATTAAAAGGAATGGATGAGAAAATGGAAAGACAGAACCAAAAGTTGGAAGGGAGGTATGCAGAATATAGAAAGGATATGGCAGAGCTTAAGGAAATGAAGAAGACAATCAGGGAATGTAAGGATGCAGTAGAAAGTACCAAAAATAGGTTAGACCATGGAGAAGAAAGAACATTAGAGCTAGAAGGATAAAGTTTTCGAGTTAACCCAGATAGTTGAAGAGACAGAAAAGAAGAGAGAGTAGGCAGAACAGGTGCTTAGAGAACTATGAAACTCCATGAAACATTCAAACATATGAACAATGGGGATTCCTGTATGGGAAGACGATTGCCCCAAAAGTATGGAAGCCCTACTGGAGACTATCATAAATGAAAACTTCCCAGGTTTTACCAAAGACCCCAAAATACTCCCTTCAGATGGATATCAAACCCTGGGTCATCTCAACTCAAACAGAGCATCTCCAAGACACATTGTCATAAACCTGTCCAAAGTCAAGATGAAAGAAGAAAGTCTACAAGCAGCCAGAAGTAAGCATTGACTGATCTACAGAAGCAGAGCATTAGGATGATGGTAGAATTTTCAACTGAAACCTTCCAAACTAGAAGAGCCTGTTCATCCACCTTCAACATTCTTAAACAAAAAAAATTTTCAACCCAGAATTCTGTATCGTGCCAAACTACGCTTCAGAATTGATGGAGAATTCAAATCTTTTGTGGATATACAAGCAATGAGGAAATTCACCACAACAAGACCAAATCTACAAGAAATACTTGACCTATTCTCAACAATGACCACCACAATGGACCACCAGCAAAGTAAATGCCCAGAAGCAAAGGGTCAAAACTTACCTTCCACCGTGGCACAAAGGATAAAACTACATGATGGACTTTCATAATATAAGATGAGTACTCCACAACATTTATCAATTCCCTCAATAAATGCCAATGGACTGAATTTGTCAGGCACAGGCTGGCTGAATGGATAAAAAAGCACAAGCTAGTTATATGCAGTCTTCAGAAGATACACCTAGCCTTGAAGGACAAATCAAGACTTAGAGTGAAGGGATGGAAAACAGTATTTCAAGGAAATGGAAATCAGTAGAAATGAGGGGTTGCAATCTTATTTTCAGATACAAGTGGATTTAAAGCAACTAAGGTTAAAAAAGACAAAGATGGACAGTTTATACTGGTCAGAGGAAGAATACAACAAGAAGACATTTCAATTTTAAATATTTATGCACCCAACTTAAATGCTCCCTGATTTATGAAACAGACATTGATGGGTCTGAGCAATAAGATATCCCATAACACCATAATAGTCAGGGACTTTAATGCCCTTCTGACAGAACTGGACAGATCCTCTAAACAGAAACTGAACAAATATGCAAAGGACTTAAATGTGATCCTGGAACAAATGGGATTAATAGACATATACAGAACACACCATCTCAAAGCTAAGGAATATACCTTTTTCTTGTCAGCCCACGGTACATACTCCAAAATTAACCACATCCTAGGATACAAATCAAACCTCAGCAAAATTAAAAGAATATAAATTACACCTATATCTTCTAGGACCACAAATCAATTAAGGTGGAACTCAACTCCAACAAAAACATTCATCCCCACATAAAGACTTGGAAATTAAATAACCTTATGCTGAATGATCATTTGGTTCAGGAAGAGATAAAAGGGGAAATGGTTAAATTCCTCAAATATAAGAACAATGAAGACACAAGTTAATGAAACCTGTGGGATATAGCAGGAAGCAATCTTAAGAGAAAAATTTATCACATTAGATGCCTACATTTGACTCGGCACTTGTGGCTCAGGTGGCTAAGGCACCAGCCACATAAACCTAAGGTGGAGGGTTCGAATCCAGCCCAGGCCCGCCAAACAACAATGATGGCTGCAACCAAAAAATAGCTGGGTGTTGTGGTGAGCACCTGTGGTCCCAGCTACTTGGGAGGCAGAGGCAGGAGACTCGTTTGAACTCAGAGTTGGAGGTTGCTGTGAGCTGTGAGGGCACGGCACCCTACCCAGGGTGACAGCTTGAGGCTCTGTCTCAAAAAAAAAAAAAAGAAAGAAAGAAAAAAGAAAAAAAAAGATGCCTACATTGGAAAAACAGAAAGAGCACATCAACAAACTCATGAATCATCTTATGGAATTGAAAAAGGAAAACAATCTAATCCCAAGCCCAGCAAAAGAAAATAAATAACCAAAATTAAATCAGAGATGAATGAAATTGAAAACAAAAGAATCATTCAGAAAATTAACAGAACAAAAAATTGGTTTTCCAAAAAACTAAATAAAATCTATAAACCTTTGACCAGATTAACTAGAAACAGAAAAGTAAAATCTCTAATCACCTCAATCAGAAACAATAATGGAGAAATAATAACAGATACCAAAGAGATACAAGAGATTATCTCTGAGTACTACAAGAAACTCTAGCCCCAGAAATT